TACAGAGATCAGCTTAGCCGATGGTCAGACACTAAGTGATACGGTTGAGTGTCCTATATGGCGGCGCTCTTGCATTTACTCATTGTTCTTGGAACCTCAATCTTCATAGTCTATTTTCACTCAGACACGGATTTCTATCTTCTCTTTACTTTGAACCAAATTGGCAGCCAATGGATAGCACCCAGAACCGCCGCATATGGTTAATGGTTGCNAGAAGCGATGCCATTCATACGCAACAGGTATCTTAACCAAAGAAACCTATTGAGCTGAATTCGTCCCTTGCACCTCGGGGAATGCCCCCATACAACCAAGCGTCTCAAATAGCCTCTGCTGAGGAAGCCCTACTCACTGCCTTCTCGCGGCGGAGATGTTTTCCCACCAAAATGAGAGGACGAAAAGCCGATATCCGGGCTATAACCGGGTTGGTGGACCACTGGTAGTTCACCTAGGGGAGTTGGTCAAAGACCCTGATTCCAAGCCAACCCAGAAGAGGCATAGGAACAAAATTTGTCCACACCCTCCTCTGTGTGGCAGTGTTCACCGGTTCGAGTGGGCATCACGGTGTATTAGGCACCTTGAACGTTTGACTCCGTTCGAAGGGCGTATGATCCAATGAACTGGACACCGGCTTCGATGGATTGCGGTTTTCGCACACCGCCCCGCTACCTTGCGGGTCAGGCTTTGGACCAGCCGAAGGCTCCGGTTGTAGATTCCTCAAGAAAATTCACCTGCTCTGGCCTGGTCAACCTGACAGTATTCGGCCAAATAGTGGAACGTTTTTCTGTTTCAAAAGAACCATTGTACCATGATTTGTTTGGCACGTATTGCGGCCTCAGATGGATATGATATATATATATATATTTACCTATATACATATATATATATATATATAATGAACAACGCAAGGGGCAAATATAATCATAAGGATCTATGCCTCGGTCATGGGAGGTAGCGAGCTATACCCTGGGAATTGGAAATAAGATTCGCACCTAGTGCATAAACGGCAAACGTGATATTGACGGTTGTTTACAGCATTTACATTTAGCTAGAAACGCTCGGTTATCTTCAAGCTGAGTGAACTCGATGGACGAGCTAAGCAATTCTCTCGCGGGCTAGAAAAAGCACACTGGGACTAGCCCTCCTTTCAAAAATGCCAATATAGTGCTCTAAGAACTAGCCACATTCCCCGTTTATCTTTGCAAAATCTTAAACTATATTAGCAATTCTGTCATATCACGAAAGTTAAAACCCTATCCGCATATAGTATCCTGATCGTTTTGACTTCTACCAAAGGAAAGGTGTTTTTGGATGTGCGAAATGCTATTAAGGGGATACGAGTAAATGTGCGTTTCGAATATACTACGGTGGAGCCAATATTAAGGGTAAAATCCGATGAACAAATGAGGATCAAAGGTAATACACACCACGAGGAATTCGCTTGCTGTTCAATGGTTTGATTCACATAAATTAACAAAATTAGCCAGTAATCTGAACAGGAAAGTGATAATAAATCACGGTTGACAAGTTCAACACAATGCCTTACTTTCCATGCATCGACGCGGCGAGAACTTCTGACGCGGTTCGTCGAGAGCTTTTTGCAGGAAGAGAACCCCGTAAAGATGTAGATGCGCTTGTTGGGAGCGGCCCGATAACTAAAAGTAACAACCTCGTAAAGAAACAAAACAAATGAAAAACATACCGAGTTCTAACACATCGATTGGATCACTATCAATCGTCATCGGGGAATTTAGAGAGAAATTCTTCGAAAGCGTGATGCTCTGCATCCCTCGAACTGGAAAAATAAATAGATCATTTCCTTTGTCTCAACTTACATAAAATGTTTTTCATATTATATGGATCCAAAGACCAGGAAATAACACCTTCAGCAAGTGAAGTTCGCCACAGTTGCGTTTGTGTCTGAGTGTTCCATAAAATAAATCGATCGCGAGAATGCAATGCCAGAAGCAAGTCTCGTGAAATTGTCTGATTAGGAATCCATTGCATTTCTGTAGTCAACTGATTACTATTTTAAACTTGCTTTTACCCAAAACACTGCAACCGGATTCACTAAACTCAGAAACAATACTGGAGCCTACAACATCCCACACAATGATCGTACCGCTCACATCCGCGCTGGCCAAACGTAATATATACGGATTCTTTCCGTCGTGAAAATAGTTTTCTGGTGCCCATGTGACCTAGTTTGATGAATGCAAGAATTATTGGTCAAGTTACCGATGACACTGTGTGTCTGTGACCCTGCAGAGACTGAACTGACTATAAGTGGACAGAAGATAGAAATAAACCCAAAGAACGTACTTTGGCGGTTGTTGGATCCAAAATCAAAATGGTGCTGTAACACCCGCAGGCTAAAAGATGTTTCCATCCACTTTTTTGTAGAACGTTTATCGTTAATTTTGAAAGAATGCACTCACTAATCAATCGGAGTTCCGGTCTCAGCGTTCATTCCAACGGACACCACTCGGGGACGAAGCTCCATTTTGGTAACAGCTACCTTTCCTGAAAGTAACGAAAAACTGGGTCATCTGAGCTCAATGAAAGAGTAACATACAACGCACGTGGGTCGATGATTTCCTCAAAAAAAGGAAAAACTAAAAGCGGACTACATGCAACTAGCATGGCACAGTGAGATCGGGTTTCATTTTTTCGAATGCGCGAAGAAAGCCTAGGTGACCCTGGAAGCTTAGTTAGTGAACTGACTTACCCATATTCCGTCTGCAACTAAAGATTCACCCTTGCTGTTGATTCACAAATAACTTAAAAGAAAAACAACACTGAGACCACCACGACGAGACTGCACCTTGACGTGACTTAACGGCCTGTGCGCCTCCATGACAATATGAGCTATACAGGATGGTTCCTCATAGCCGCAGATTTAATCACGCCTGAAAGGTCAATGGGTAGAGGCCAGACGAAGCCCATAAGGCCAGGTGCTTGCGCACTTCCTTTATCTATTCACTGCGAGACCATGGTACAGGACGGTTAGAAACAGTGAGTGATATGGCTGAGTGTCGCAAACATTGGCACTCGTGAATCTACTCAACTCTGACAAACCCCAATTTGTATGAATTTTCTATCTTCTCTTTGACTCAGCTGTCAACATTCCAAAATTTATCCAAATTGGCATCCATAAGACAGAAATCGAAACCGGCGCATGAAAATGCATGGTTAAAGGTTATAAAAACTTGAAGTAAAACTACACTGAGTACAGGTTACTGAAATCAATTGAAGACTATCAGTTTCATTGCAGTGTAGTACATAATGTCAATGATTAAAATGGTCAAATGGTCTCAATGCACCATTCGAGTCGTCGCCTCCGGCAGCATAAGTGTCGTTGGAAATAGGTACATCATGTCGTGGCTGATCGCCCTTCCCTTGCTCCTATACGACCATACGTCTCAAATAGCCTCTGTTGAGGAAGCCGTACTCACTCCCTTCATGTGGCAGTTTACCACTACGGTGAGAGGAAATTGCGTCAACATCTGAGGATAAAACCCAGATCAGTGAAGCACTATTAGTTCACCTGAAAAAGTTGGCGAAAACCCTAATTTTAAACCAACAAACAACAGGCATAAGACCATCTATACCTTCCTGTTTCTGGAAGCAGTCACCGGCCTGGTTAGGCATCCAGTTGTATTGGGCACCCCAGATGTTTGAAACAGTAGAACTAACGTGATTTGATAAACTGAACAACTGATTTCAATTATTTACACTTTTTACACACCGCCCGTCTGTCTCGCGGGTTGACCTTTGCTTAGCCGAAGATTATAGTTGTGAATCATCCTCCTCCGAGCAGATCACGCATTGAATTCTTCTTTTATATTGGTGTACCATGATATTTTCGACCATGTTTGGACTCAAAGATGTGTGAAAGGTTATTGTAACGATATCCGAAAATCCCCACCATTTGGGGCTAGGCTAGTGTAATCATGGGGAATTTTTCCGTAACCGGGAACGCATCTTTTCTGAAATAAAATCAATCATGCTGTAAATTGTTTTGCTCTAACCTTGCTTTCCACAATTCTACTGTACTTTTACTTGCCTAATGGCTCTACTTTGGCTATGTTGCTGCTGAATATAAACCTCGTGAATAAAGCATGTACTTGATTTGATTTGACTTCGACTGTAACTCTTCAGGACTTGTTAGCCGGTTCCGAGGGCAAAGAAGAAAATATTTTAAGCGTCTGTTTGGAACTTTATTCCTTCACAAATCTTTGCACTGAGGGTAATCCCCGCATGAAAAATCTACAGGAAAACTATAACAGTCTTTAAAACCACGACAGACAATCGCACAAGGGGTTGTCCTGCGAGTCCCAAGTAGATTCCCTGCCGCAATGTTGTAATGCGGTAAATCTGAGATATCCATGCATCCGTAAAAGGCTATAGTCAGGCCCCTCATGGAGTAGTGTCCAGGAATGGTCGCCGTTTTTCCAAAAAAAGTGCCGCCTGTTTAAAGATGGTTTAACGGCTGGCAAAGAGAATGGTTGAGAGACAGCAGAGCAAGGACGATTGGCAAATGCGTAAGGAGATTGGGTTATTATCCTTGGAAAAGAGAAGACTCCGGGTAGATATGAAAGATAATGAAAGTTTTGTCTGGTCTTAAACCAGAATCCCAGTTTCTAGAAGCGCTAGCTGCTTGAATGAGGGGGCATGAAACGAAGTTATTCAAAATCTGTTCAAGATTGATCGCCTGGTCAGAGTATTCAACAAATGGAACAGATTATCTGTGGAGCTAGTAGAACTGAAAACCATGTTTGCATTCAAGACTGCCTTGCTAGTTTGGTAGTGATCAGTGAAGTTAGCTTCGCTCATCAGCTTCATCATCATCATCGTACAGCAAAATACAATGAAGCGAACTTCCCTGATCACCGCCAAACTCGCAATGCATACAACATAAATGGTAAAATTAAGATGGAAAAGGATGGGACCTATTTTGAAGGAGGAAGAAGCTGAACCACTATGGTCAACACACAGAGTGCACAATCGAACTCTGCAAACATATTTTTTTATTACGCACTTTCGTGTGATAAACAGCAGACGGGGTGGAACCCCATAATCACGATGGAAACCGGTAACCTAAGCCCCGGGACTTGGAGTGGTAAACCACATAAGGCCCCCATAGGTTGGGTGTGGTATTGAACCGGACGACAGCAGAGCTGCCTACCACCAAAGCCGGGTGGGGGTGGCGGGGCCCGAATCTCGGACCATGGGGTCTAAAGCACGCCGGTGACAGCGACTAAGCCACTGCGCCACCACCACTATATCGTTTCAAGAGTTCTGACCTGATAAGAAATGACAACAAGAACGCCACTGCTGTCGGTTTGCTGCCATATCCTTCAATGTCTCCAAACAACCAGTTGTGGAGTCTTTCGGACCCCAACCCGGAAGACGAGAGACAACTACTCTACCTAATGGCTCTGTGCATTTCTTCATGCCTCCTCGTCACGTCATCTGTTGAATCCACGCGGTTTCCTCCAGCCCGGATTAGCTACAGCGGATAAAACGCGGTGCGGCAGACGATGGCTGGGCATACGCAATACGCGCCTAGCCAGCGAAGTCAACTAATCTGAATTCGGTGTGCTAGCAGGTTTATCCCTGATAGACTCCCAAACACACGACGATTTACCTCCACGTTACTAACCCGTTCGCTCCATCCCACGTGGGCTAAACTACATAAACACCGATAAACGAAAACCTCTAGTCGACGGATATCTTCTACTCGCAAACCATAAAGTAGGACTGAACGAACGCTAGCACAATATACACGACCTTTCAACTTCAGTGAAACGTTGCGTCTACGCCATAGGTGTTTCAGTCCTGCGTATGCTGCTCGAACCTTGGAAATGCGGGCAGGATATCTCCTTTGCTGCGGTACCGTCATTGGTCACGCAACTAACTAAGAAAAGCAACCCACCGTAACTAATTCCCGACCTTTTAGTTTCAGAGCGGGAGTAGGCGAAACCCAGCCTTGCAGCATCACTTTGCACTTTGAAGGTGCAGAGCATACAGCCAATGTGGTAACTGCACTTGTTAGTCTATCAATTGCGGTTTGCGCGTCCTCTATACATTCTAACAGACAGACGAATTCATCGGCGTATTCTAAATCACAGCTTTTCTCCAGCTGACCATTTAATACCTACGTTTTGGAGTCTCCTTAGTGCTCTCCAGTATTTCGTCTACGACGAAGTTGAACAGGAACGGCGAAAGAGGGTAATCTTGACTAACGCGGGTTGTGGGCGCTGGCTTCTCGTGTCACTACACGGTTTACTTAGTTCGTAGTTAACCCTCTTTAGACCAAAGGTACGCAAGTACAGTGACCTCAGTAAGTTAACGTACTTCCGGGGCATTCGTTTTCGAAGAAGGGAGCCCATCAGAGCTTCGCGGTCAACTGAGTCGAAGGCTCCTTTCAGGTCATGAAACACTGCTATCGTTAGTCGGCGGTGAGTGTGACGCGGCTCAAGGACCTGACGCAACGTAAAAACTTGATCAATACACCCATGGCCAGGCCGGAATCCAGCTAGCTATTCACGGATGTTGATTTCTTTTAAAGCAGTCAGACGTCGAAGTACAACCGAGGCTAGACGATCGGGATCAAACTGATCCCGCGGTGGTTTTCGCAGCCGTTGCGAGACCCTTTCTTGAAAATGGAAACGATCAGTGATTCTCCCCAAGATGGAGGAATGCGCTCTTGCGTCCAAATGTAGTGGGTCCAATCCCTGTCCTCCTTACACATTATCACTTACCTTGCATGCAATATGAGTTTGGTAGCGATCAGTGAAGTTCTCTTTACTGTATTACGCTGCACAATGATGATGATGAGTAAGGTAGTAATACAGCTTACAAGGTTATCACCGCCCATCTTGAAAAGAGTGGGAGGGAGCTCATCTGGTTCTGCTGCTTTTCTTCGTTTCAGAGCTTGAATGCAAGACCGAACTTCTGCTTTCGTCGGAAGATAGCACGATTTTGCCCACGGAGCTTCAGTTGCGCATGAGACGACAGGTTAGCGACAGGCCAGCTGAACTGTTCGCCGAGATATTCTGCCCCGCGATCAAGCCATTGATCCCTATTGTGAATGACTTGCCCCATCTCATCACAGACTGTTTCACTAAATGCAGTTCGCCGACCTCCCGTATTGCGTATCAGTCGGAACAGTCTTTGACTATTCCCTGACGCAGCTGCTACTTCCATTTCACTAGTTACTGTTGCCCACCAGTTCTCACGGTCCTTCCTGAGGCGCTTCGTAAGCTAACGTTGTAGATGTCATCTAACTATGTCTTCATCCTGACAGGTCTGGACTTGTCGTCTTTTATCCATCAGGATTACTGACTCCTGAGATTTTCAATTCATCCGACGGGTTTGAGGCTCAGACCCACAAACAACATTCGCTGTGGAATGTATTGCTCGCCTAATCTGATCCCACTGCTCAACTACATCATCACGTTGAGCCCCGCTTAGCTCACGCACTAGCTCTAACTCATAGCGCACATGAACTGCTGAAACAAATCGTCGATGATGAGTTATCCGA